AGGATTTAATTTCCCAACTACAGAGTACTCCAAAGAATGTAAGTAATTATGTTTGTGAATACTTTTTTTTCTCTTTTGATTCAACTTTTTTTTGTTTTTTATATGGCAAAGGATAAAATAACACCTAATATTAACTATTGGTCAAAGCAAATTTTAATATTACTGTCTAAATTATTTGACTTGTGGTAGTTTGATTAACAGTGTAATTTTATTTTGTGAAGTTTTGGTGGATAAGGATCGAGGAATAATATGGTTTTAACTGGTTTCGATCTTATGAACAAAGTTTATATTATGATTTAAATTTATAATTTATAGTTACACCTATTGAAGTAAGTTTTGTTAAAGTAATTAATGTATGGATATATGACTATTTTTAGTTTTAATATATATATATATATATATATATATATATATATATATATATATATATATATATATATATATATATATATATATATATATATATATATATATATATATATATATATATATATATATATATATATATATATACAGTATGTAAAAAAAATAATCGTACACTTGAAAAAAAATTGTAATTTTAAAGATTGCATTATTAGATTAAAATATTTGAAAATTTTTTTTAGATATCTTAGCAAGTTTTGTTTTAAGAATTTATTTGTGTATTGGTGAGTTAATTGCTTTTCATACCTATTAAATTTTACACAATTGATCTAATGATGTATATAATTGACTGCAAAAAAAAAAATCGTACAGTTCAAAAATAATGTTCAATTGATCAAACTTCATGAAATTTAGTATCAAGTGGGCATCCTTTGGCCTTGATGGTCTCAGCTAGACAATTTGGCATTGAGTTGACCAAATTTTGGGTTTCTTTTGTTGTTATATTATCCCATGCGCTCATTATAGCTTCTTTTAAGTCGTCTTTTTATCTAAATGCTCGTTCACCAATTTTTCTGTCCAAAATATTCCACAAATTTTCTATAGGATTCAAGTCCGGACTTTGAGATGGCCCATCCATAACATTGATGTTATTTGTGTCAAAGTATACCTTTGTTTTCTTAGATGAGAGTTTGTTTAAGCATTGACTATGATTGTATTTGTAGAAAAAAGAAAGAAATGCAACCTTATAACAATGGGAGAGTGGCTCAACCTTGGCAAATAAAGCTGATCTTATTACATTTACAATGTAATTTTAGACTTTGTCTGAGAGTAAGAGGGTTGTTATTTGTCAATATAGGAATGCCAACAATATTGTAATATTTTTTTGCAGTTGATAAATGAGTTTTGTTGTCTAACGAAAATTGTGAATTTTAAGTCCAGAATTTAAATCCATAAGCCACAGCAAGCTTTAGGCTGTTACAGAAGAGAGGTCAGATTTAAAATTGGCTGCTTGTTCTAAGCAATTAAAGATGATTTTTTGTCAAGACAAGAGTGTAAAGTGGATTCATGAACAAATTTAGTCGCTTTAGATTTCATTATGATTGTTATTGTAGATAAAAAATATTATAGAAGCAAATATAGAACCTTGTGGTTCTCTTAAAGTTACTTGAAATAAAGAAGAGGGTAGGCCTTCAATAATAACTTTACTACTGCAGTTAGAAAGAAATAGTTTAATAACCTCAAAACTTTTACAAAGAAAATTATAAGAAACTGCTAACAGAGTGAAGAAAAATTGTAGGATACTTGCAGAGGTCAAGGTGTTTTCTTGAGTTTTGAAAAATTTGAACCATGTATTTAGCACGTTGAGAAAAGATACAAGGTTTAGTAAATTGAGACTAACAGAGATTTACATCAGACAAGACATTTGCTTATTGTAATAATAAAAAGGATAATTTGTTCTTAAGAGAGATGTTCTTATAAAAAAGATGAAAAAAGTGATTAATGTTGAAAGATATGATGTAGAATGTGGCTTGACTTAAAACTGACTTAAAGAGAAGTAATAAAAGCTTCCAAACTTTTATTCCAGAAGCAATATAAGTAGTCTCCAAGATGCACTTTTTGCACACACATTACGGATATAATCACATCTGTTTGCTATTTGTTTAGATGCTGGCATACAATATCCTTTCATTGCTATATAAACTTGAGTATTTATATGGTGTAGTATTTGCCAAAAGAGAAGATGATCAGATGGATGTGTGGTGTGACTCTAACAAGACATAAAAAGAAGGCATAATCTTAGACAGATTTTTTTTTAGAAAAGGTGAAAGTAATTTAAGTATCAACATGTAGAGTGGTAGCAACTTCAGTATAAAATGTATAGAAGTAAAAAAGTTCGAAGAGTTTACCTTAGATATTGTATAAATGAGCTTTAGTTAGGAAAAGAAGTGTACTAGGTTGTTTATATTAGGAAAACAGCTTTAAAGAATAAGGCTATAGCCTAATGATGATGATGATGATGATCATGATTATGATGATGATGATGATGTGCATGTATCAGACTGCTAATGATACAAGTTTTGTTTTTTGATTTAGATTCTGTGTTCCAATGATATCCTGACCTATCGAATCGATATCCTGGTAATCCACTCACACACATAAATCTTTAAAAATATGTTTATATTTTTATCTATATATCTATAAATTGTATATTTTATATAAATAATTTGTATATTTTTAAAGTATTCATTGCATATTACTGTTTGTATTAAAAATCGACTTTAGATATATAAGTACAGAGCTCAACATACAATTTTGTTTTATTTGATAATTCAATATACATCATAGCATAGTTTAATTACATTTAATAACATTTTGCGATATTTTCTCCAGCGCATTTAAACGTTGATTCAACGTTATATTTCAACCTTTACTCGAAGTCTTTGAGTCACGTTAAATCGATGTTTTACTGCCAACGTTAAAAATCCTTGCAAAATCGACTGCTTTAACAACGTTACAGTAACGCTTTTTAAGTAACTTTTTTTCAACATTAAATTGCGATGCCTTTGCAACGCTTTTTAAGTAACACTTTTTCAACGTTTAGTTGCGACATTTTTGTAACGTCTTTTAGTAACGTTTTTTTAACGTTACGCTACAACGTTTAGTCAACGTCTCTTAAACAACGTTACATATCTTTGCAAAATCGATTACTTTGTCAACGTTTCCGCAACATCTTTTGCACCGGTTTTCAACGTTGATTCAACTCTAACATGTTTGCTGGGATACAATTCATCAATGTGAATTATTTTTAAATTTGTTTAAATACAAATTAATTTAGATAAATCTATGTTACCTTTATTCAAATAGGTTCTTAACTTTTTATTTGTTATATGCAAAATTTTATAAATAATTTTTCTTTAGTGAGAGAGTTTTTTGTTTTTTAAGTAAAGATTTTTAAAACTTAGTTTTTGATATAATGTGAATATTTGATATTTTAAATATTTGCAAGCTTAATTCTGTGTGCAAAAAGAAAAGGTGAGTCAAAAAATGTCGAAAATTATATTAAATATATTATAATAAATAAGTTATACACGGCATTTGAGCAGAATTGTTATTAATCAAGGAAAAAAGTTTAAATTTTAAATATCCCCCAAAAAATGAGCAACCGATTCATTATACAAGGCTTGAAATCGTACTTTACAAAAAAGTTGCGACAGCACCAATTTTATACTGTTTCTGCTATAAAATGACATTTCATGACTCGTCTCTCTTTTCCCTTTGCACACAAAAAACTTGTTGAAGAATAACTTTGTTGTTTCTGTTTTGCAGTCTTAAATTTTTTCATCGTCAATTTTACCATCAGTAAATTGAAATAAAATAAAGAAGTAAATAAATAAAACCCTAGTCAAGATTTTAGATAAAGACTTTTTGCTACCTGAAGCATAAAATCATGGAGAACTTACTAAAAACTGTAGAGTTTTTAGTAAGTTCTCCAAGATTATATCTTTAAGATATCCCATAAAAAAAATTAAACAACTCATGTCTGGTGAATAAGGAGGCTATTAAATTTCTCCGCCAGTTTAGCGGATTAAATCTAATCAAATTAATCGATTCCCAAAATGATGCCAAAGCAATTCAAAAGCTTGTGCTCTTCAATGCGGGCGAGCTTCATCTTGTTGGAATTTAAATTTTTAACAAGCACAAATGGATAAACTGCAATTTTTATTTGTTAAGATACAATAGAAAGTATTCTGGAAAAGGGAGTAGTTTACCTATAGGACAATTTTTAAACCCTATCTTTTATTTGGGCTATCCTGAACAGTGAATGATCCTGAAATTCACAACGAACATTTCAAATCAGCCAAAACAAATGACTCAAAAAAGTAATGTAAATTAAATAAATGAAATTTGAATTAATGATGAATTAAAACTTGATCATTTTACGCATCTATGAGTTACATTAAATAAAATTTGACTTGTAAAACAAGTTATAACAAGTCAAAAATCATTTAATGTTAGAAACAGAAATTAATTTTTTTTTAAGTAATGAAAAAAAAAATTTTATTTTTATTATTATAGAATGTTCGACTTAAGCGAAGTATAATAATTGTTCTTACTTTCAAGGGACTATATATATAGAGAGATTGAGACAAAAATAGTTCTAATTATTTGGTGTTTGACTTGCCGGGAATTAACCGCAACAGATTTAATTTTAAATCTTAAAAATTCAGATGTAAAAAGATGTAAAGAGTAAAACCAAAAGAAGTAGGAAAAAAAAGTTTATTTTAAAAATTATTATTTTGCAAAATAAAAATTTCAATGAATGTAAGTATAAATAGTGTCAACAACGTCATAAAAGTAGTATTAAACAAACTACTGCAACAGTCATCTTACCATCTGTTATCGGGCTATACCACAATAAACACTCAAAAACATTTTTAAATTTCTTTTTTGTCACTTAAATTATTTGCTATGTAATGTTGTACCATGTTATTTTGTACCTTTTAACTATAGTAACCATGTAATGTTGTACAACCTTCTAATCATTATTAAAATGCTAACTATTATATACAACAATTGCAAAAAACGTTTAATCGAATCAATTTTTACCGGATTAAAAGTTAACAAAACAATCTTACCTTTGAATATAGGAAAATCAAGAATACTTTCATTTTTAGTACAAACGGAGTCAATGTTTCCACTAATGACAGGTATTACACCAGAAACTGTTAAGTTGTCTTCAGTTAGTGTTCCGGTCTTGTCAAAAACCACAAGCTTAATTTTTCCGCATACATTTATTCTGTTTGGATCAATGCAAAATATTTCTTTAGAATTTAGTCTCCAGAGTGCGGTCATAATTCCAACAGACATTGTTGCAGGAAGAGCAGGGGGTACACATATTGTAAACAAGTCCAACGCTTTCTTGACTATATCAGAAGCTTTAAGACCTTGTTCTTTGAAGATAACAACAGTGTAAATAAAACCTATAACTGCCATAGATGAAATACAGAGCATAAATTTCATCGAATCACGAAAAAAAGTGAAGTGTACAGGCTTAGGATATATAATAGATCGAATTAGACCTCCTTTTAGTGTATAAAATCCAGTTCGAATTACTATAGCCAAAACATTTTCTTCCCCTGCATCAGTTCGAGCTTGTATAATGTTTGTACCATTAAACATTGTATGTTGCTTGTGCAAATTAATACTGTAAAACATGTGAGGTTCCAACGCGTCGTCGATTGCTGTTTTATTATTTGGTATGCTCTCGCCTGTTAATGAGCTTTCGTTAACAATGCAACGCCCACTTAATAAAACTACATCACAAGGCACCTCCATGCCTGTAGGAGGAATAATTATAACATCTCCAGGAACTAATTCTTGGGTAGATTTAAAAATAATGTCATATGATGAGTTGGTTGATGAAGTCCTTCTATTCAAAGTTTTTACTTCTGATGGCATAGAAATCATATCGCGTAGTCGTTGCCATGCTTTTTTTGTTTGATAAGTACTTATCACCAATGAAAAAAATGTCAAAACAATTAAAAGAGCAGCGTACAACGTATAATCTTCAGTGAACCATAAAATTACGCTAAACAGTTGAAAAATGTAAAAAGGATCTAAAGATAACTGAACAAAAATTAACCAAAAAGGCTTCACTGGAACGTCAATGTGGTTAACATTATAAATTGCAAGTTTAAATGCGTTTGATTTTGCAGTTATTCCATACTTACAACGATGAATGTCTGAAAAATTCCACATTTTTTCAGAATCTTCAAGAGGAATTATATTATCGCAAGTTTCACTAATTATGTATCTTAAAAACATAAACTCAAAGTATCGTATTCTAGATTGGACAGCTAAACTTTTTTCAAACTGTGTAAAGTCATTCGCAACAGTTTCTGAATCAATTTTTTCAATAAACTTGGTATTTATTTTGCAGACAAAACGTTGCTTTCCTTCGCTTTTTTTAATTCGTACCGACGACGCTTCTTTAATACTGCATCTGTTATGGGTAAATTTTAAACGATCTATAGGATACCAGTATCCAATGAGGAAAATAATTCCGGCGGTAGATACACCCAAATAACAAAATATAATAGTAAAAAGAAGACTTCTACGATAAAATAGAATTGAAAATTCATCCTTTGTCTCCGCATGCACAATAAGCCTATCGAATTCTAAAAACAAAAATTAAAAAAAGTTTTATACGTTTTGTTTTATACGTTTTTTTATGATAAGACGTTCAAAACAAGATACCGCATAGTGTTTTTTTAACAATCTGGGATAAAAAAATAATTTTTGAACTTACCTCGAACTTTGTTTTCTCTATTTAATTTTTCATGTTTTATGTGATTAATAATATATAATATTACCAAATATCATTTAATAAGTATTAATTTGAAAAAAATTCTGGCAGTACATATATCCAAAAAAAAAAATATTATAAAAAAAAAGAAGACTTCTAAAGTAAAATAAAATTGAAAATTACCAAATATTATTTCATGATACAACCGAATCGGTATTACCAAATATAATTTCGTGATTTTCAGTGTGGTTAATAAATCTTCTGTTTCAGAATGATTGCATTCATGACTGCTTACTGGTGGAGTGCAAAGTCCTATGGCTTACCTTCTCGTTGGTGCACTTCGCAAGTTTAGAATTATTTTGTTCTATCTATATGTTTTTTGTTTTATCTATACGTTCTAAGTTTTAATTGGACCTGCAGACCAAATAACATAAAAAAATCAAACAAAACCGATTAGTGTTAATTTCCCAAACAGGCTACCACAGTTTTAAAGAAATTGTATTAAAATATTTAAAGTGCAGGTGTCTGAATTACTACATCCTGATTTGGAGATAGAACAATGTAATACACACTTATTTTATAAAATACAGTGTTATTTTGTTCTATCTTTATTTTCTGTTAAAAAATATAACACAAACTAATATTTTTTTTACATATATTTTGGCAAAATGATTGTATATTTTGGCAATTAAAGTACTATAAGCTTTATCTTGATGTAAAGAGCTTAAAATCAAAAAAGCCTGCAATAGCTAAAAAATGTTTGAAATTCAACTTTTTCATTTGGTAGACAAAAAAAAAAAATTTTAAGAGCAGGAATTGCTCTGAATAAACCAAGGGGACTAAATATTTCAATAGGAGCAAGTGCTCTATCAATTTGACTGTGGATGTTATCAATCTCTTGTATAATAGAATTTCCTGGTCTGAAACTTTTGCTGAATTACTCAGATTTTTAGGTAACATATCAAAAACCAAAAATCAATAAACATACGCGTCCATTTTTCATCCCTGATATTTTGTGTGTATTTAAATTTACAATAATTTAACAGTCTTTCTTTTTGGTTACAGATTTTCATGAAACATTTTCTCCCTTTCTATTTTTATACGGCTGATCAGATTGTCTTAACTGCTTTCTCACATTATGTATCCAAGTTTTAGGTGGTGACTTTTGTTTCCTAGTTTTTCCTCAACGTAGGAGCAGACGAAAACCAGGTGCTACTTTAGGATTATCATCATGATAACCAAGAACAGTCAGATCAGTTTCTGAATAAAATAAATATATATTTCATATATACCAAATATATATTTATATATATATATGTGTGTGTGTGTGTGTGTGTGTGTGTGTGTGTGTGTGTGTGTGTTTGTGTGTGAGCAATAACGTGTTTTACCTTGTTAAGTTTTGTTGTTGTTGTTTTGTCGTAAAAACATCTGCTACCATTTTGACGAAAATAACTTTTGATTGGATAAAACGGAGGTAGCACATTATAATTATAATTTTTAAACAGGAATAAGGAGATAGAACCAAATGCTATGTCAAGTGTAGTAAGATAATTATTTTTTTTACTGATTTATTTGTAAAAAATAAATATTTTATCTATAAAAAGAAAAAAAATTGATCTAACTTTTTTTTTTTTTTTTTGAAGATAGAACAAAATAATTCTAACCGGGCGATGTGTTTACGCCTAATTTATAAACAAAATAGCCAAGGCAAACTTTGTTTAAATATTTTTTTAAACAATAAAATTGAATAGATTACAAATTAAGTACTGTATGTCAGTTGGAATTACATTTCCTTTTATATATTAAATAAAAAGTTTGATAATGAAAAAAAAAAAAGTTTGATAATGTTGATAATGAGATCCGTGGTTTAAGGTTTGGAAGAAGGCGTGAACTTTCAATTAAATGCTCATTAGCGGTGCTTTGTAATTAGACCGTACGGACTTATGAAAAACATGAAAAATTTAGAACTTTTCACGTAAATATCTTTATCTGCATGTAATATCAGTGGCCTAGCTATTGCAATCCCAGTACAAGCAAAACTTACGGTTCCACAAGCAACTGAATCTAGAGCCGCAAGGTTTAGGAGTTATAATTAAGATATATTTAAAGAGTTTTTTTTTTTTTTTTTTTTTGAAAAGTTATCGCTCCAGAAAAATAGAAATCGGACACCTTGGCCACGTAACCCTGGATACAAAATACCCTAAGCATTTACCATCTTTTCTCCTAAATGTGAGTGCAACAAATTAGCAATTTTTTTTATTTTTGTTTTCTTACACTAAATTTAAGTTGACAGGTTTTAAAATTCATACCCTAGTTTTTTAGTATTCAAAACATATGATTTTGTAAAGTTTATACCTTCGCCAAATGAGGAGATTGTTTCAATCTTTTTCTAAACATTCTCATGTGATAAGCAAGAACAAACTAAAGTTTGGCACTCAAGTATGTTTTTGTTTATACCACAATACTGCATAATATTAAAGATAATTTAATATTAAAATATTATAAAAAAATTTAAAATTTAAATTTTTATAAAAATATTATGACACTATCAAAAATATACTAAACAGGTGCTCTTTTGTATATATAAGTTGTGCTAAGTTCGATAGATTTAATGTGCCCTGGTTCAATACCATTGTCATATTATGCACAAATTATTTTCTAATAGTTTATTTTATACATGAAATTTAAATTACTGTTAGCAATTATTTCAACCAAAATTGTTGCATTTTATTAATTATTTTAATAATATATTTTATTAATTATTTTAATAATAAATATATTAATATCACATTGATGTGATATTAATATATTTATTATTATATTGATGTGATAATAATATATTTATTAAAGACATCACTACATTATTCGTTATAAAACGCCTTTAAATGATTTTAATTTGGTTTTTAACAACACACAGTGCCGGATTAAGGGGGATCCCAGGGCCCCGCATATTTAGGGGCCCCCAAATATTTTAGAGGACTTTTTCTTTTTTTTTTTATTTCAGTCATTTTTAGGTTCTAGCCCATAAAAAAGTCTCCATAAACAAAAATAGTCCCGGGCCTAAAGAAGTCTTAATCCGCCACTGATAACACATTAAAAGGTTTTCAGAAAACCTCATTTGTACGTAACTATATGATAATATTATTAGTTAAAGAAGAGGCTGTTGATTAATTGTAATTGGTTTGTTGATAAAAGGAATCGTTGCATGTTCAAATAGTAACACTTTTTTATATTGCAGTATAATACCACGCAACACCACTTTAATGATAAACTACAACATTTCTTATCGCTTATTTTTTATATAATGCCTTCATAAAGTTACAATAACGTAAATATAGTTTTAATTAAGATCTCCATCTCGGAGCACGCTCTTACATCTTCCCCTTCTTCTGTAAATAAAATGTTTTACTGTTTGTGTTTTATAATGTATTAATACTTCCTCCATAATTCTATAGGACGTCTTTCTCTGTTAGGATATGTCTTCAATCTGTTCTTGATGATAGCTTCTTAGTTGTGTCGGCATAGTAGCTGTTATTTCCTTTTCTGGCAAAATTGATTCATTCTGGAGGTATTCTTCATCCTTCTCTTCTTTAATTGGTATCGGATTAAATTGTTTATCCGTTGGTACTTTCTTCATGTGCGAAGCATTTCGAGTTTTTTGAGAATTGTCGACGGGAGATTTTGCAGTGATCATTGTACCATTCTTTGCAGTAATTGTGTAGGGTTTGAACTCGAATGGTGCCGTAATTTTGTTATATTTTTTTTGTTTTATCAGTACTGTATCCCCGATATTTAAACTTGGATTTTTTGCGTGGTATTTTAAATCGTGATATTTTTTTCTGTATAACTTAGCATTTTCTTGTCTCTTTTTGGCTTGATCATTGATATTTGTATCAACCCTTGTTTGGAATGAAGGTATTGTAAAACCTGTTACGCGATTAAGTATGAGTGTAGATGGTGGCATTCGGGTTGTGCAATGGGGTGTGGTACGGTAGGAAAACAGGAAGTTGTATAATTGCTTTTTCCAGTCTTTCCGTTCAATGTGTGCTGCTCGTATTGTTTTAATCAGTGGTTTCATAAAGGATTCGGCTTGTGAGTTTGCTTGCGGCCAAAGCGGGGTGATTTGTTTATGTTGAATATTCATTTTGTTCAAAAACATCTTTATTTTGAATGAAGTGAAAGGTGGTCCATTATCGCTGACAATCGTTTTCGGTATTCCATATACTGCAATCGTTTTCTGTAGAAAATCAATAAGGAGGTCAGCAGATGTATTATGTATAATAACGACAACTGGAAATTTTGATTTTTGGTTTATAAAGACCAAATAAAATCCATTAGGTAAAGGACCAAGGTAATCTATATTAACGGTGTCCCAAACTTCCTCTGGTGTTGGTGTAATTAATAGTTTGGCTGGTGCATTTTTTTTACCAAGGGCTTGACAAATCGCAAATTGTTTTATATATTCTTTTACTTTAGTGTCCAGACCAGGAAAGTAAACTTTTTCTCTAAGTAATGATTTGGTTTTCTCAAGTCCCATGTGACTATTATGAGCAAGCTGTATAACCGTAATTTCCAGAGAATGTGGAAGTACAGTTCGATTTGCTTTTAGAATAAGGTCTGAAGTCTGAATTACTGGAAGTTCTTGGTGTATATTACGGTAAGCAAGTAAGTCTTTACGAAATTTTTTTAGTTCTGGCGGACAATTCGGATGTAATAGTTTATGCCAGGTATTAGTAGTAATTAACTCTGTATTTGTAGAATAGGATCGGCTTTAGTTTCTCTTTGAATATCCAGTAGTGAAAGGGCTTTAGGACATGCGTATTCAGCTGTAAAATTGACATATTTTTTTAGCCCTTCGTCCTCACAAGGGTC